TTCACTGGATACTTCTTGTCCACATGCATGTTGACCCCCCTCAAAGAATTCTAGTAGATTGGTGAGGCATGATTTCCCTTTACAAAAACCGTGTTGGCTCTTCCCCAACAAATTATGTTAATCTATGTGTCTGACAATTTTCTTCTTTACTATAATTTCAATCAGTTTGCCCAGTACTGAAATCAGGCTTACCAGCCTGTAATTGCCAGGATCACCCCTGGAGCCCTTTTTAAAAATTGGTGTCACATTAGCTATCCTCCAGTCATTTGGTATAGAAGCTGATTAAATTATAGGTTACATACCACAGTTAGTAGTTCTGCAATTTCACATTTGAGTTCCTTCAGACCTCTTGGGTGAATACCATCTGGTGAATACCAACTCTTGGGTGAATTACCCATCCTAATTCAGTATAATTTCAGAAGTCATTAGCTTGCTGTTTACTATATAATAAATGAAGGCTTTATATAAAACCACTCCCGACAATGAGACCAGACACACCTCATTAATATCCCCTCTCCACATATTAATACAATGTTGTCTATCATTTCCCATTTTTTCAGTATTTTTGTTCCACTGGTCAGTGTACCTGAACTGCTCCCAGTGCAGCTAGTGGGAGCAGGAGCAGGGGATATGTGTTTCTCCAAGCACATTTGAGTTAATTTTTCAATGCAGAGTTTGAGAGAGATGTTATCATATTCTATATTTTAAAAATATATTTTATATCTACTCTGTTTCTGTAATCCACATTTCTCTAACCCTCCTCTTCTCCCCCCAACTCCCCACATCAACAATCATCAAGTTTTCTGGCAAGAATTATCATTTGCAAATCCAGGATAATTCAATGCCTAATTTTCAGAGGTGCTGAGCTCATGGAGCTCTTATTGACTTCTATTGTAGTTGTGGATTCTCCCTGAGAAATCAGGTCTTTGAATGAATATGAAAAGAAAAAACAATTACTAGCCATCTATATTTTTTTCTAGACATAGAAGTTAGGATTCAGTTACATAACTGCCAGGATCACATTTCTTCCCTTCTAAATGAATATTACATTGGTTACTCTTTAGTCTTCTGATTCCTTTCCCAGTTGATTTTTCAAAAGTAAGTTATCAGGGTTTCAGTCAGTCTTTTTGTTAATTCGCCTAGTACCTTAGAATTAATTATTCAGACTGGCTAATTTGTATATGTTCCTCGTCAACAGTAATTCCAATAGGTATTTCCTCCTAACCAAGTGGCAAAATATTTCTTTTTTTTTTTCTAGTTTAAGACAGATTTTAAAAAGAGCAGATGAAAGTAGCCCCAGAACACTACCCAGGCTCCAAGCAGGAGCTATGGTTCAGATTGTTCTGAAACATCCTGGGGTTTCTAGTGGACGCCAAGTCATGCAACTCAGTTCTAGGTGGAGAAGGCCACAGAAACCAACAAGACTGGCAGATCAAAAACACTATGCCTTCAATGCAGCAAAATAGGACAATCAGTCACAAAGCTCTGCAGCAACTCCAAAGACAAGTCACAACTCAAAGTCCCACAGGAAAATGAAAGAGCAGGATTTTGGTTTCTTCCAGCATGGCACAGCTGTAAAATAAGATTGCAGGTTGACAGGTGATTAAGAAAGATGCTGATGTAGAAAAATGTCATCTTACCTTGGCTTTGAAAGCAAGACTAAGTTTCATAGAAATTATGCTTCATTAATATCCAATCACACCAGGAATTTACTTATGTACAAAATGCTTTATCAGGTGCTTAGGTTTTGCACATGTAACTCTAAATAAGCAGACTGGTTCCAAATTGAGCATGTTAGCCAGATGCATCAGTTGCACATACAAAATCTGTTCTCCTAGATTAAGAATTATTGTAACATCTGGGTCTGTTTAAGCCACAGTTAAAAAATGAAATGCAGAAAATAACACTGGGATTGATCAATGAAATGGATGATGTAGGACTAGGCTGAATTAAATCTAAAAGGTATTGGAATATTTTTCTTCCTTATAAGTATGGTTCAATATGCTGTTAGTAAAGTAACAGCAATAGAGAAAGTGATTAAATGCTGCAACCACTGGACACAATTGTTCATTGAATTTGATGATGGTGATTCCACCCCTTTCTCAGACCATTGCAAGTGCTACCAGCATAAATAGCCCATGCTGTTTTCATAAGTATGGCCAATTGTTCTCATCCCATCCCAATCCCAGTGAAGTCAGTAGCAGTTTTGTCATGGTCTCAGATGGAACAGTGTTAGGTCCACTGTGTGGGACATAAAATGTTTAATTTAAGTCTGGATCCTGTAATCACATATGCACATGAGTAGTGTTATTGGACTCATATTCATCAAGTTAATGACATGCATTAGGGTTTGCAGGCTAGAGTCCCAAGGCCTGCAAACATTTATGCATGTGCTTAACTATAAACAAAAGATTAATCCGATTGACTTCAGCAGAACAAATTCACTTGCTTAAAATTAATCACACGCATAAGTGTTTGTAGGATTGGTACCTTAAACCAGTGGTTTTCAAAACCAGTCCACCACTTGTTCAGGGAAAGCCCCTGGTGCACCAGACCAGTTTGTTTACCTGCCACATCCGCAGGTTCGCCGATCATGGGTCCCACTGGCTGCGGTTTGCTGCTCCAGGCCAATGTGGACTATGGGAAGGGCAGCTAGCACGTCCCTTGGCCCGCGTCACTTCCCGCAGCCCCCATTGGCCTGGAGTGGCGAACCGCGGCCAGTGGGACCCACAATCGGCCGAACATGCAGACGCGGCAGGTAAACAAACCGGTCTGGCATGCCAGGGGCTTTCCCTGAACAAGCGGCAGACCGGCTTTGAGAACCCTTGCCTTAAACTATAGCCTCCTGGGTCCAAGGACCTGAAATCAATAGAAAACTCCCACTGATTTCAAAGGGCTATGAGTCAGATCCTGAGTCATCTTCTCTGGTTCATGCAAAGATATTTCACCAAACATAACTTACATAGGCACCAAAGAGGGGAAGATAAATGAAACTGCCATCTCATGGTTGTCTCCAGTATATTTCAGCATTGATCGCAAATTAAAACATGTAGCAGACACACTTTATTAAACAAGACACTTCTGAAAGCATATTGCCATATTTTACCTATGAGAAAGACAAGGTGGGTGACTTTTTACTAGACCAACTTCTGTTTGAGAGTGAAATAAGTGTTGGAACTCCACAGAGCTCATCTTCAAGTCACTGTGAAGCTTGAAAGTTTGTCTCTTTCACTACCATTCGTTAGTCTAATAAAAGATATTACCTCATCCACCTTTTGTCTCTCATATCCTGGGACCAACAACACTGCAAACAGCACATAAACTTTATCAGTGTTTCTTTCTAATAAATTTTATGTAACAACCTACTTTGAACACTGACACCCACATTTTCAAAAATGGTTGGCCTACATCAGACCATTGTAGTCCTGTTGTATACAACTATACACCATGCCTTTTTACAATTAAAATGAGGACTGGCAAAGCTGACTGAAAATCAATAATATATTTCATCTATATATAGAATTTTCTCGGAGGGCATGTGCATTTTTAATGAAAGCAAATGTTCCCCAAGGAATACTTCATCTCAGTCATGAACTTTAATTTAACTCTTCTCCAATTGAAGTTCTTGAGTTTTAGCTCAAATTGGATTACTCTGGGATATGTCAAATACCGCTTTTACTCATCACTTCAGTCAGCAGTGAGGAAAAGTCTGGTATTCTACTGCTTGCCTTTACAGTACATATATTTTCTTCCTATAAATCACACACAATGAGTGAGAGCCTTAGCAAATGGGATGCTACTTTACATTTACTCTCACTGGTTCATAAGAGAGTAGAGGGAGCGTGAAAATCACAAGATGTGTGAAGTCCGCAGTCCTCCAATATTTACATTCTATTAAATTCACCGACAATCAGTTTTATCCTTATTGTCTACTTTTCGCAAATGACTGTGTCCATTCTACCCTGCCTACTATTCAAGCAATGGAAGCTAGGTGTGCATCTGTTGTTGTCTGATAATGAAAAAGAAAAAAGGAATTAGTAGCTCAGGGCACGGCATCGGAAAAATTATTATTCTGTTATGATTGCAAACAGTACCATCAGATGAGAAATTAGACTAGAAATTAATTTGCATTCAAGGGAAATGGTTTTGGAACAAATTATCAGATTGTCTGTGAACTGCTCTGTTTACAAGAACATCTCCTTCTTCTATTAAGTCCTTCCTAGAACAAAAACACACAGAGCTCGATTCTCTGCTGTGCCAGAGCTTTGCTTGGCACAGAAGGGCCCAAAGCAAGTGACAGGGAGACAGTTACAGCTCCCTGATTCCCACAGACCTGACAAAAGTCAGGGCTGCTTATGGGCCACTCTAATTTGATATATTGATACGGGGTCCATGATGGGCTCTACACCAGTGGAGGATAGATGTAGTGCAGTAGAGTTATATCACACCCACTTCTCACCACTGTCTCCCCCCAACATAACCCCCTTCTGCCCCTGACATGCCAACTAAGCCAGGAACGAGGGTACTGATAGGCACCAAGTCTGGAGTCAGTACACTCATGCCTTCAAGGAGTTCACCTCCAGCAGGGGAGTTCACTCCAGGCCAGTTGCTGCCCGTTTCTGGCATTTTTGTGCCTCCAGATGATGCAAAGTGACAATATCTGATTAGAGAATCCAGCCTTTTGATGCTGTTTCGCATCCCTTCTTTCTTTTCCCCTACAAGTCTCTCTAGTACTTTCAGGTGATTTGTGGTAGTGATCAATGGTCATTGAAGCTGGGTAGCATGTGATAAGTTTGTAGGTATCAAGGGCTTAAAATGATATGAACTTTAGTAGAACTAAATCTTTCATTATTTCCCATTTCCCCTTTACTTTGAAATAAATAAATCATTGTTTACAGAGACAGAGAGGGAAAAAAAACAAAATATGTCAAGCTAGCCTGGATGCCAGTATGATATATGTATGATCACTGCACATTTGCATCTACTTTTTTCATATGCAGGTACTTCATAGATCGGAAGAGTGATGCAGACAGCTACTTTACAATAGATAGATCTGAAGGAACCATTGCAACTAATGAAATACTGGACAGAGAAAGCACCGCACAGTACAATTTCTCTATAATTGCAAGTAAAGTTAGTAAGTATGGCATGAATTGAATTAAGATGCTAAAGTAGTGTCTCTCAGAATACAATGATCAAAAATAAAATGTTTATTAGAATGAAATGATTTAAGGATGCATACCATGTATCGGTTTGGCAAGGCTAAGTATCGTATTCAAATACTCACATATAATCAGGTTTGATCCTGTACTCCTTATGTAAGCACAGTTCCCACTGAATTCAATGGAAATTCTGTTATCAGAAAGTGGTTGGGTTTAAAGGATGATATTAGAACCTCCATTTTACTGGGACTACTCTGATTAAACGATTGATAACTGTGCTGTAACTACTGTAGTTTGTGTCTCGTATGTGTACTGAACTTTTAAATGGAGAAAAGTACCTCCTTGATGCAGAGATAGCTAACATTTTGTCTTTGGGCGCTACAGCGGAGAGAGAGAGTTGGTGTTCTCACTTGGAGACCTTTGTCTTGTTCTTTGTTTTGTTGTTTACTTAATAAGATTGAGTTGAGGACGGTCAAGGAGAAAGCATACCTTTCCTCTTTGTGTGGAAGAGTATAATGGTTATTTTAATTCCCAGACAAAAACTATATTAGAATGGAGTTAAGGTTGAGGTGATACCAGTAATGGAAGGCTCTGTATGAATTCACCTGCCTGATCCATCTCTCCTCTCAATCTGCCCAAGCCCCCCTGCCTTGTCACTTCCCTGGTTGTCTTCTCCCCTGCTCCTCTCTGTGCCTTCTTTCAGTCTGCCCCCATGTTGGGAAATCCCTCCTTCTCATGGGGCATCAAGCAATCATCCCCCTCTTCATTTACATCCTTCTGTATAGCACACATCTTTCCCTGTCAAAGTTAATTCTCCTAGGTTTGTTTCATCCTTTGGAAAAAAACCTGTTGTTCAATCATCTGCATCTGATCCACAGAAGTCTTTCCATTGACTTCAATAGGCTGTGGATCTGGACTCCTGGTGCACTTTATGATAGTACTGTATCATTTATCTGTTTTAGAATGTAAGTTATGGAGGCAGGGACCATGTTTTCCCTTATGCATTATTCAGCAATTAGTTCTCAATAAACAATACATACTAATAACGTAGAAGGGAGGACTTTAGAGAGAAATACATATATTATGAAAACTTACTCCACCTGAAAAAAAAATCTCAGTTGTAGTTATCCCAAACTGAGCCAGAGGAATATCCCTAAAGGCTGAAGATAGAACAGTAAATAAAATAAAGTGCCTATGCACTTAAACTGAAGGAGTCATCTCATTATGTGTATACACTAAACCTGTGACTTCTGACCTTACCTTTGTAGGGGGGAAGCACATTTTCTTGAGTGACTTAGAAGAAATAGGCCAGCAGAATTGTAATCTGATTTCAGATAATTTTAAAGAAATGGTGTTGAAGAAATGGAGGTCTCTTAATAGGCTGTGCTTAAGCAAAGCTTAAATATTTAGATGTATTGGTAAGTAATGAGCATATTCGATTTGCAAACTTGTCCTGAAATAAGGCATTTGGTCTAGCAAACTCATTGTGAATCCATTTATTATTCTCCCAGACTCCAGAGTAATTAAAAAAAACAAGCCAAAAAAAATATAAAGGGAAATACAGTTATAGTAACATTGTGCTTATGGTAGAGTTGTTGCATGTAGCCCACATTATGAAATTCCCAATTCTGACCATTAGCCAACTTAGTAAACCTATACCTCCCATACACTTGAAATTCATATTCCCATATACCTTAATATTTGTGATTTAAATGTTATTCATCTCATAAAAAATAAATGTTATACATACAGTACACCTATAGTTGGCGATACTTTGGAGAATGAAGACATATTACCTGTCAAAGCTTCATACAGGTCTGTCTGACTCAGAGGTAACAGAGGGAAATGCTGGGATTTCAGAAATGCTAAGTAGTAGTAGAGGAGGGGAAAAGGGCAAATTTCTGAATTTCCCTGCCATGGAAACATTTTAAATACTTTATCATATTCATTGCCTTTGTCAGGGAGAAGGAGTGAGGGGACCATTGAAAAAGACAGAGAAAGATAATTTAATTATTTAGACGAGTTCCTGCTTTAAAACTGAACATTATGGCAGTTACTCAGTACTGATGTAGGAACAGTGGAATGGCTACACCTGATCAGATTAATGGTCCATTTAACCCAGTGTCCTGTCTTTGAAAGTAGCCATTACCAGCTGCTTCAGAGGAAGGTGAAAAATACCTCATAATGGACAATTATAGAATAACCAGCCCATCAAGAAAGTTTCTTTCTTAACCCTGTCAATTGGAGGTTGTCCTATGTCCTGAAGCATGAGGTTTTATATTCCTTGTGAATTATCATAGCCATGAGCAAAAAATGTTCACTTATCTTTTTTTTCCAATTGCCTTTTGCAATTTCGATGAAATAATCTCATATGTTCCCCATTCCAAGCCACCCCAGCAAAACAAAATTTAAATAACTTTTGAAAATTAGCACATACAAAAATTGACATTTTAATTTTAATTCTCCCAAGATGAGGGAGAATGATTTGGTTAACTGTCTCATCCATTCAAGTAATTGTATATAGCCCTCAGTTCTAGCCTATTAAAAAAAAAAGCCTAACCATGTGTGTATTTATGAAGTAATATACATACAATTCGAGTATACAAGGTATGAATTTAATAGCTAACGGCCCGAATTTCCAAAAGCAATCTCTAGGGCCCCAATTCTCCACGTTTTATTTTACAGATTATGGTCTAAGGCACAGGTGAAGTGAATTGCCCAAGGTCACAGAAGAGTTCTATAGCCAGGAAGTAAACTCAGATGTCCCAGCTCCCCACCCAGTGCCGTAAGCACAAACCATCCTTCTCTTGTCTTCATTAGGAAGTTTCCAACCCATAGTTACCCAATAAGTGCAGTTCCAAGAGTAGAGATTATAGACAAGATCCAGGGGTTTGTACCACCATTGTCCAAACACCTGCAGTTCCTACTGACTTCACTGGGATTTGATTGTGCTCAGCTCTTCAGAAAACGTCACATCACTTATATTTAGGTCCCCAAATCAGCATAGGCACAATGGATCACAAAAGTTAATACTTTTCTCTGCTGTCTAGAGTTTTCTCCTCTCGTACAATAATCTACATTTGTGAAATGAACAAAAACAAATATTAAGATTGTTCCCCTCAATTTAGAGAAAATCCCACTTCTGGCTGGCTCCTAAGGCCTTTTTTCAATTGACTAAGTGATGTGCTTCTTGTGTTTACCACTTAAATACTGCCCACCATCTTAGCCCCCAGCAGCTCAAAGAGCTTTGCCACCATGCTACTTTGCATGGAAAATAATGTCAAGTCATGAACAAGTTTCTGTGGATCAACTACGCCTGTCTCATCCCTGGGACACAGTCCTTATTGTTTTCCATTGCGCATCTGTGGCTTCAAGAAGGGCTGTATTTAAAATCAGTGATGATGCTTATCTTACCTTTCTTCCACCACAACTAAGCTTGACTAGGAGTGATGGTGTAGGCCTCAAGAGATCAAGTTACTTTCTAGTAATAGCACAAGTACAATGCAACTCAAATTGCTAAAGATAGTGGCAAGCAATATATAAACCCAAATGCAGATATGGATGAATAATGCAGACTTTCCTTACAAGCTGATAATGCTGGCTATGACTCATATAATTCTATTATTAGCACAAGAACACCTCAGGTTATAATTTTTAAAAGGAAATAGATTGAAAGACCAGAGCAAGAGAAAATTCTAGAGAAATTTCTATTTATTATTATTGTTTATAGTAACAAAGTCTGGGAGCCCCACTATTATTCTTATGATTATAGCTAGGTTGAGGCAGCGCTACTGTAAGGTATTAGCCTACATGAGTAAGGATAGAGGAATCTGGCCCCTTCTATTATCTTTCATGATTATCAGTGACAGGCCAAAATGGGTATGTTTTCAAAGTGGTGCACAGGAATTAATAAAAAACCACAACCAGACCACTCCCATTGATTTTTATGGCAGTCACTTGAATCCCTTCTTAACTTTTCTTTTTTAAAAATTTCCCCCCCGTAATTTCTACACTGTGCTACAGAAGCTGAAAACAAAACGAAAATAAGCTTTCATATGAAACACTTCCAAAAGAAAATTCAAATCGATATGATATATAGAGAGATTACTACTTTAATAGGAACTACCAAGATTTTAAACAATTTAACTAGTCAGCTGCTTTCATTTACAAGACACTTGCAAGAACATACATCATTCACAACTAATGTATTATTAGCAAAATATTTTATTATATTTTTTAATGATACAAAGGAACTGACAGTGATGACTGTGCCCTCATACTGTCATCTTCATCTACAATTTAGGTTCAGAACTTCTTCTGCAGCTGTCTTTCATAGAATCAGACAACTGGAAGGAACCTTGAGAGGTCATCTAGTCCAGTCCCCTGTACTCATGGCAAGACTAAGTATTATCTAGATCATTCCTGATAGGTGCTTGTTTAACCTGCTCTTAAAAATATCCAATGATGGAGATTCCACAACCTCCCTAGGCAATTTATTCCAGTGCTTAACCACCCTTACAGGAACTTATTCCTTATGTCCAACCTAAACCTCCCTTGCTGCAATTTAAGCCCATTGCTTCTTGTCCTATCCTTAGAGGTTAAGAAAAAACAAATTTTCTCTCTCCTCCTTGTAAAAACCTTTTACATACTTGAAAACTGTTATGTCCCTCCCCAGTCTTCTCTTTTCCAGACTAAAGAAACCCAATTTTTTCAATCTTCCCTCATAGGTCATGTTTTCTAGACCTTTAATCATTTTTGTTGCTCTTCCCTGGACTCTCTCCAATTTCTCCACGTCCTTCCTGAAAAGTAGCTCACAGAACTGGACACAATACTCCAGTTGAGGCCTAATCAGTGTGGAGTAGAGCAGAAGAATTACTTCTCATGTCTTGCTTATAACACTCCTGCTAATACAATCCAGAATGATCTTCATTGCTTTCCCTAAAATGAACTAATAATAGACTCAAAGAATCATGTATGACTGAGTTATTCTGTATGAATATACAATTTTCCTTCCAGACAGGACTGCTGCATGGGCAAGATTTTTAAAATGAGGTGCTGTTGAAAGTGAAGCTGTGAAAACAACACCTCCTTACTTGACCACCGTCACCGGTTCATTCACCTGCATGTCCACCAATGTAATGTACGCCATCATCTGCCAGCAATGCCCCTCTGCTGTGTACATCGGCCAAACTGGACAGTCCCTACGTAAAAGGATAAATGGACACAAATCAGATATTAGGAATGGCAATATACAAAAACCTGTAGGAGAACACTTCAACCTCCCTGGACACACACTAGCAGATTTAAAGGTAGCCATCCTGCAGCAAAAAAACTTCAGGACCAGACTTCAAAGAGAAACTGCTGAGCTTCAGTTCATTTGCAAATTTGACACCATCAGCTCAGGATTAAAGAAAGACTGTGAACGGCTAGCCAACCACAAAAGCAGTTTCTCCTCCCTTGGTGTTCATACCTCAACTGCTAGAAGAGGGCCTCATGCTCCCTGATTGAACTAACCTTGTTATCCCTAGCCTGATTCTTGCTTGCATATTTATACCTGCCTCTGGAAATTTCCACTACATGCATCCGACGAAGTGGGTATTCACCCACGAAAGCTTATGCTCCAATACATCTGTTAGTCTATAAGGTGCCACAGGACTCTTTGCTGCTGTGTATTCAGAATCACTGTTACTTTCTTTAGTGACTAAAATAAACTTTTGCTACATTTTTACTTTTTTAGCACTACAGAGACAATTCAACCTTGAGAGAGTGGTGTAGAATTTATTTTAGATTGTCTATCAACAGAATTGTCACTTAATTTCCAACTGCAGGGCCAAATTCTGTCCTCTGTTAAACCCATTTGGCTTCAGCGAGGTTGCACAGGTGTAGCTGAGGATGAATTTGAAGGAAATGGGGTTGCAAAGGAACAGAATTTGACTTGATAAAATATTTGTATTAGTGTTGATTCACAAGAAGAAATAACACAGTTTATATTCTTTTGTTGCTTGGTTTTGCAACTTAACAAATTTGATTTGGAAATCATTCAAGTCTAGATTGTGGCTTTGTAAGAGGTAGCATCCAGATGTGCCACTGGACAGGAAAAAAATTGTGCCTCTCAGAGGTATAATTCCCACCATGCTTCTATGTTGGTCTGGAGGTGGGGACTTGTATATTGCTAGCCTATACACACAGCAAATTATTATATTCTCCACCCCCACTGTTGGCCGTGCTGGTCACAGATCCCAGGCTTGCAGTGGCTTGTGCAAAAAATATAAAATAAGCAAGAAATCCAAACAATTCAGCACTTCTGAAAGGTTCCGTGTAAACTTGGTTCTAAAAATGGGTGAAGGCTTAGGACAGTTCTTATATTTCTTATCCCACGTTGTTGTGGCTCTGCCAGGCATGACTCACAGCGCATAACCTTTTTTTTTTTTTTTTATGGTTAACTATAACTGCATAGAAGCCCACATATTTTCAATCCTGAGGGATGAAATTATCCTTTGATTTTCTAACACAATTGCTTTTAAATCCCTAGGGTTAGCCCAATGTGGAGAATTTTGCATAGTGGAATTGTTCCTGCTGAATTTGCACATAATTCTATAAACAACATACCAGTAATATCTCTATAACACAGCAATTTGGGAGAGCTGGAAGGTCCTTGCCTATTAACATTAAGCATACTCTTTTTAAATATTTATTTTGTGCACATATGTATGTGTTACCTGTACAGAAAATGGATAATTGTTGCAGCATAGTTTAGTGGACTAACCAATGTTATAATCCAGAGACACCTGCGTTCCACTACTGACTCTGTCACGGGCTCACTCTGTAGCTTTTTAGCAAGTCACTGAACCCTTCTCGCTCATATTCCCCATCCATACTATGCGTGTATCTATTTACTTTCCTAATTAATTACCATTTGTACAGCATCTTGAAGATGTATAGCGGATTGTAAGTATTAAGTTTATGGATTTTTTATGTTTCATCATTAGAAAAAATGAATACAGTTTTAAATCATGGGAAAGGATTAGCAGGAGAATTCTTTTAAAGTGATCTAAGAAAAGTATGCACTTATAATTTCCATCTGAAGGGTCAATTTTAGATACCCTTACTTGTATTGAGTAGTTACCTTACTCCATGAATAGGAAGATGCTACTCAGTGTAAATAAGGTAATCAGGATCTGGCCCAAAACAATAAAGCCCTTGAATCGAGTCTGAACTCACACTGGTGAGAATGAAAACTAAGTCCATTGAAGTCAAGGAGTTGTACGAGTGTAAAAGCTGTGTATCTGGAAGATAATGAGTGTTGTTGTGGGGGACATACAGAAATAGTATTTCCTAATTTTTCCTGTCAATTTTTTTTAATAGGTAATCCATTACTAACCAGCAAGGTCAATGTTATAATAAATGTCTTAGATGTCAACGAATTTCCTCCAGAAATTTCAGTGCCATATGAGACATCTGTATGTGAAAACGCAAAACCAGGACAGGTATTTTGATTTCCTTTTAACGTTATTATTATTTTATAAAAGTAAAAGCCAGTTTCGAAAAACAAAAATGTATTGTTCATGGGACACACTTAAAAATAAAAAATTGTGGATGAGATTTTTCAAAGCTGCATAAGGGATTTGAGCACCAAAGATTCAGCATCCAAATCCCCTAGAAAGCGTTGATAGTATCAGCTTGGAATCCTTATGAAAATTAGCTATGTGTTCCCAATGAAAACAAGCAATGGCCTTTGAAAATTCTTATTATTGCCCATCACATTTTCCATTACTGGTACTATTTATTTGTTGTATGGTAGCACCAAGGGGCCAGTGCCTCATTGTAGGCACTGTACAAGCATATAACAGAGACCGTTCCTATACCAAGGAGCTTAGGGTTAAGCATAAGACTATAGACAACAGGTGGATAAAACAGAGGAGGTGGGCTCAAGGAAACAATTAGATGATACTTGGTCAGGTGTCTTTATCCATATGTTCCTTCCCTGGGAAGAAGTCTCAACAAAGCAGAGATATTTTCACCCCAAATCAGCAGGCTGAAATATATACATTACACTCAGGATCCGATTGTGATACCCTCACACAGCTGAACAGCACCTTACTCCACAAGTGATCCATTTAAGTCAATAGTAGAATACGCAGGGTAAGATGTTTCTCAACTGACTGAAGCATCAGAATTTGGTCCACAATTCTTTGCTATGTGATCCTGTTTAAGTGCTGAATGGTCAAAGGTCTGCAAAACCCTAGGCCATAACATCTTTTGTACTGTAGCAAAATTTTGCCTCAAGGAAACAGGGCTTGCAGCTATAACAGTTTGATTACTTCAGTTATCAGCTGTGTTCCCTCTAAGGTGTGCGCCTTTGTGACCGCACATGAGCCCATCAAGGGCTGCAAACCAGCCGCGCAGGCACACACAGAGGTGAGCATGAAGAATGTGGAGGGTGGGGGCAGTGGGGTGAGGTGATGGGAGTTTGGATGAGCTTGGGGCATGCTGGGCTAGGGGGAGGGAGGACGCCTCTCTCCTGCAGCCCCAGTTCTAGCCGGGGCTGCGACAGGGATGGGAGACACGGAGCTCTCCCCAGGCCTGGCCGGGGCTGTGGCTGGGACAGGAGAGACACCTCTCTCCCCCGGTCCCAGTCCTGGGGCTGTGGCGGCCGGGGAGAGACTCCTCTCCCCCAGCCTGGGGGCTGCGGAGGGGAGAGAGGTATGTGTGTGTGTGTGTATGTCTCTCTCTCTCTCTCTCTCTCACACACACACACACACACACTTTCACACTCACCTCCCAACACATACTTGTATTATTATAACTTGTTGTTACTTCTTGATACTTCCTGCAATGCACATATAGCTGTAGCTCACAAAAGCTTATGCTCAAATAAATTTGTTAGTCTCTAAGGTGCCACAAGTCCTCCTTTTCTTTTTGCAGATAAAGACTAACACGGCTGGTACTCTGAAACCTGTCATATAGTCTCTGTAATTTTATTCTTTCAAAATGCTATTTTATTTTTTGGCTGGTCTACGCATTTCATAATTTTGATTTCTCTCTTATGCTTAAATTTAATTCTTTGAGTAGTGAGTTCAAAAATGCCTAACCTGTCCTGGCTGGAGTAATTATCCCTATGTTAACTTTTAAAAAATATATATTGTATCTAGGTTTTTTGTTTCTACTGGTGGCACACATCCACACATTACCTCCATACTGGTGCACATAACAAAATTAATTCCGCACATGGGTGGAAAAAATTAGAGGGAACATTGATTATCAGCTATAGAATTAGAATGATTTTGCCTGCTCTATAATCAGTGACTAACGAAAAGCAAAACACACCTGTCTATGTAAGCATCATACTCATTTTTTTAAGTGACAGTTTTGCCTGCGATTTCAAAACACATGAATATATAAAAATTGATTGACAAAAAATTGTTGGCTCCATTGAGAAGGCAGGGAGCTAACCCACATCTATATTTAGGTGGTGGCAGTTTTTCAGTTGTACTACTTCATCTCAACTTCAGTGCCAGACCATTTGTTTTTATTTTGGGAGGAAAGCTGGGAGGGCTCAAAATTTACCACTAAAGGAGTATTGTGCATCAACCAGATTCAGTGAGGTGCTGTAGTAATCAGTGTCCATCTATGGTCTGCATGTACCTCTGTCTACTAATCTGTCTTATTTTACTGATATAATTAATATATGATATTTATAAAGCACCTATCAGTGTGTTATCTAATCAGTGATACTAGGGATGGGAAAATCTTACAAATTTTGGTTCAGGTGAGCATTGCAAAGCTTGAACAGGTACCAATATTAAGACAGTGTCTACATATGAAAATTGTAGTTCTTTCACTAAAGAGTTTTCTTTTTTAAAACCAACGGAATCCCCTATAAAGGCATACATACATCAGTGTACATGATGCTTTTATGGAGCTTAGTGGATAAAGCACTGGACCAGGGACTCAGGAGACCTAGGTTCTAGTCTCGGCTCCTTCCACTGGCCTGCTTTGTGACCTTGGGCAGGTCATGTCACCTGTCCGTGCCCCAATTTCCCCATATTTAAAATGGGGCCATGGTACTAACCTCCTTTGTAAAGAGCTACAAAAGCTGCTGATAAAAAGCATTTTACATAAGTTTGGTATTAAGTTGGTAATCAACGAAGCTGGTGCAAACTGACTTAAGAGCATCCACAAAGGGGTTTGTACCAGTTTTACTAAATCAGCTTTAAAAACAGTGCAAGATGTACATGTAGATAAAGTCAGAGTCCCACACATACTCCCAAACTATTGCATCTCTGGCTTTTGAACTGCGCTTTTGCTCTGATGCTTCCCTTTCTCCATTTGTATACAAAAGAGGTCTTCTGAGACAGACTCTTGACCATTCCTTCTAAACCAATTATAGCAAGAGCCTATGGGGAGCCAAAGTTCCACAGAGTTTGTGAAAGGCATTTAGATCTGGAGTTTTGATTTAAACCTGTCTCTATTTTTAAATTCTTATTTATTTCATCCTAATTATCACATGTTTTTTCCTTAATGTGAACTATATAGTATGGTGTTACTACTTGGCAAGAGAATATCTATATCTCTCCTGTGCCCATCACGATGCTTTTTAGGTACAAGTTACAAAATATTTATTTGTTTCCATTAGTATTTTCATGGGATGATTTTATAATCTCATTCAGACAGTTCACAGTGTGAGTTGCTTGGATACACCACTACACAAGAGAATGTGGCATTCTGCGTTCATCCTCTTACCTTACAACACAGAGGAATGGCACTTTATTCCAGCAGGAAACAGACTCTGTTGTGTCTTATTGCTTAAATGTCCATTTCTGTTGTTTCATTTGATGACTACATTAAGGTTCTTGCAAAGCTGTTTCTTTTAAAAGAGTGAACTGACCTCAAATTCTATTTCAATCTCATTTCAGGTAATTCAGACTGTCAGTGCTGCGGACAAAGATTTGTCCCCTGCTGGGCAAAGGTTTTCCTTTAGACTGTCACCTGAGGCGTCCACCAAACCAAATTTCACAGTCCAAGACTACAGGAGTAAGTTGTTTACTCACATTACCAAGGGAAGTGGTAGATACATCAGCTCTTGATGACTTCAGATCAAGACTGGGTGCCTTTCCAGAAGATATACTTTAGCCAAATATGAGCTACTGAGCTCAATGAGGTGACTGGGTGAAATGTAAGGATCTGTGGTATACAGGAGGTCAGACTAGATGATCTAATAGTCCCTTTAGGCCTTAAAATTTGTTAATCTGTGTAAATAATTTACATATTTTGTAAACGGAATATTTTAATATTATTGAATACTTAAATGTAATACAGTATGTAAATAATCCCTGACAGTTTTATATTTACATAATCTATTGCCTTGATTGTTCACGAACAATCAATGAATCAAAAAAGGGCCAACTAATCTGTACCAGGGTTTGTATTTTGTTGTCAAAGCCAAAGAGAACTACACAGAATCAGCGTTTACATGCAATAGCCCATTTTTATGAGTGTATTATGATTAATGACTCATGCACAGTGAAGTTTTACAAAAAGATTTTCACATTTCTTCTTTTTTCATTTAATTTACTTAGTGCATTTGATAGTACTTGTTACACAATCACGTTCACTGTTTCCCCTACATAGTTGGCCAGTGAGTTCTTTTTGCTGATAGAAGGTGAAAAATAAGAAGCTGATGATAGAGTGAGAGAAGCCCAGAAATAGGAAGGTAGGGGGTTGAAGGAATGAGGTGAAGTAGAATGTAGGAGGAATACCTCAAGTTAATTTATTCTATTTACCAGCTCTATTTACTGCCCTGAACATTTTTTCAAGATGTCAGAATTTTTCCCATTGTACATCATGACAAAACTGAGACCTTTAAATTTTTTTCCATACAAAAAAAAAAAAAGAGGGAGGTACCCCAAAATAGCCTGAATCAGTATCTCTCACATCCCAGGTGAGTGCCTTTACCACTGGGCTATTGGCTGTTCTGGGATGGCTCTCTCTCTCTCCAGAAATTCCATCCTGGGTTTGAGAAACCTATTTCATTAATACTGTTACATTCCCACAAGAAGCTTTGCTTTCAAGAAATCAGCACTTTGTCATGAAAAAAAACTGCATCCAGTTCTACCTCAAGTTCAGCCATGACAAGAAAAAGGAAGGCACAGAAGGGAAAGGAAGCATGAAAGAGTTTGTTTCATAACATTGATTTTCTCCTTTGGGGGGCTGGGGGAAGAAATCAGGGGGACCAGAGGCTGAGGAAAAACCACACCAAAGTAGTTTACAAGATTCTGCTCTTAAAGACGTGTACTGCTCCTAGCAACTGCAATGGCAGCAGTTTTGCCAGCCCCAACCATTCAAACCTTAGGAGTTAAGGCTCCCAAAAATCACAAATAGCATAAAATCATGAGACTTTAAAAGAAACAAAAACCCAATATTTTAAGTGACTTCATGTTTTTAAGCTTCTCTCTGCAACTATGAGATTTTAAAACATTTTAAAATGAAAGCTGGGATTCTCCTGATTCCAGGAGTTTGGGTTTAAAAGAAAGGAAAACAAACAAACAAACAAACACCAAGCACTGCAGGACTCACAGTAAAATAAAAGTTACTAGAATAGTCAACACTGTGCCAGAGGCATACATATGCATCCAAAGAGCCTTTTCAGGCCCATTTTAATGCTAATTTCCCATAACTATTGGTATTTGAATGTAGGACCAAATCCTACCTGTCTGTTATTGTTCTTACAAGGCCTGGTCTGCAATTAAAAAAATTATTTGGTTTAACGATGTTAGTCGGGGGTGTGAAAAATCCACACCCCCTGAGCAACATAGTTGAGCCAACTTAAGTCCCCTTGTAGACAGCGCTAAGTCAATGTAAGAATTCTTCCGTTGACCTAGCTATCACCCCTTGGAGGTGGATTACCTACACTGACAGGAGAATCCCTCCCATCAGGGTATGTAGTTTCTACACAGAAGTGCTACAGCAGCGCAACTGCAGTGGTGCAGCTGTGGCATTTTTAAGTGCAGACCAGCTGCAAGGCACCTCATCAGAATTCGATCTGTGTGGGAACCACAGTTTCTGTTTTGTGGTAAATTCCGGAATTTTTATATTCTTTGTCTTCATTCTGATTTAGAAAAAAAAAAACTTCAAAAATTACCCATGAAGATTATTTTTTTTGAGGGGGGACGGGAAGTATTTTGGGAGTATTGAATTTTTTTTTTTCAATTTTGACATTACTATACAACATAAAATTATTTTCTTAATGGATTGTCATGTTGATACTAAGGAAATCAAAATGTTCCGGTCAAAAAATGGAATTTTTAAACCTTATCAAAAAAGCTCCTGCCCCCCACCGCCCCATGACAAAATGTTGTCCAAACTGACACATTCCTGTGGGAAGTTTCAGTTTCAATGAAACACCATTGTCTGACAGAAAGATGTTCAGTTGGAAAATGTTCAACCAGCTTTAATCAGAATAGTATCTAGGTGCTTAAGAAATCTGGTCTATAGATACTTGCACTCAACTCCTACCAGCTTTAATGATTGTTGAACATAGGTATCTGAGAGCTGGATGTGGCTCTTAATCTTTATATTCAGTGGCAGGATTCAAAGGGGGAAGGGAAAAAACATCCAGTAAGTGAACTCTTGTAATGTTGCAGCAAATGATCTGAACTAGACAGTAATTCACATGGGAGAGATGGTAAAGGGGAATAAGCACTGCAGGCTATCCCCAATCAGACCTGATAGTAAATTGCTTTCCAATCATGCTTTTCCTTTCGCCTCTATTTAATCCTTTTAATCTTCACATCATTGCCTTTCTACTCAAGTTTGTTTGATTCACGTAAAGCAGTGGTAAGTCAGCTTCTGCTGGGAAGAAGTAGCAAAACTCAGCTCCCGGGAGCTCTGTGCAGTTTCGGCACTGATTAGTGGCAAATGTACTAACGGCACGAAGGGCTCAGTTGATTCCTGTAATTTTTTTTTAATTGTCTGTTTTCAGTGGGGTGGAGAAGTCGAGGGGCTATTGTGCTTCCTCCAGCTGCCTCATTATCAAATCCAAAGGGTTAAAGTGAGACACATTCATAATGGGGACCTGATCCAAACTCCATGGCAAGAAAAGGAAAGGAAAGATTGAAATCCCCTGCTAATGGAATACCTGTAACAGGAAAAAAAAAAAAGGAAAATATATATTCTTTTCATTTCTGCTTTGAAATGTTAGCTGTCAAGCTCAGCAGGATAAATGAATACAAACAACAAAGATTAGTTGTTGCCTTGATAAAAAACCTTGGCTGCATCTGATTTGAATTTGACAGCTTCAGTATTAATGAACCAAGGGATTTACAGAGCATATATAATCTACTGATTCAGGAAGCCAGATTATCTTTCTGCTGTTCAACAAAATACAAACTTTTAAATGTTAAGTGAAGCACCATAGAAACAATCCTATGAGGGCTGTCATGTTTTGCAGACAACACAGCTGGAATTGAAACCAGGAGAAGTGGCTACAGCCGTAGGCAGCAAGACTTGTATTTCCTCCCAGTTGTGATAGAAGACAGCAGCTATCCTGTACAGAGCAGCACAAACACAATGACTATCCACGTTTGTAGATGCGATTCCGATGGTACCATTCTATCCTGCAATGTTGAAGCAATCTTCCTACCAGTTGGACTCAGCACAGGGGCTTTGATCGCAATATTGCTGTGTATTGTTATACTTCTAGGTTAGTTTTCATCCTGTAACAAAGTATGTCTCTGATTCTACTTGTGAATTAATTTGAGTCACCATAATTCCATTTATTGTTTAACAAAGGCCATTGAAAATGTACAGCTGTTTACAAAGAGAACTTTTATGCTTCTACCTTTGTAGAAAAATATCCCAAAGCACTGACCATTAATTTGAATCCGAGCATGCAATCTGCTAACTACTACATATTTCTTATGGAGTGGGGAAAAATATCTTACAGTTTGGTTTGAAATGCAAATTTTGCTCTGAAACAGTGTTGATTAAATACCTTTCATGAGGAACTGATTTCCATATATATATAAAATTACTAAATCCGCACCAGCAGCTACCTGGTAAGGACCTTTCTTCAATTATTATGAGGGATTAAGTAAGAAGAATGAAGAAATGAGACAGGAAGACCTAATTATAATGTAGCCTGTGGCTGACTGGACCATTGAAAAATAATACAATATTTGTACAGAAATGGATTCCATAGCATGACATTGCTGTTTGAGCACAAGTGCTCTTTACATGAGGTCTTACTTATACAGTGTCATTGGCAGCCCATGCTACTGCCTATCTTCCCCAAAATAAAGCCCCACTACACTAGTAGTGTAATCAAACCTGCTTTATTGCTTACACAGTAGACTAGGTAACTCAGATTCTGATAGGTGTTAGCCTATGCCTAAAATAGCACTTCAAAGTGTTAAATGCCCTGAATCCAAGCCTTTCAGACCAGATCTGTGCTCCTTACACAGAACTACTGGTGGAGGACACACAAATGAACACACTCAATCCCTGCATATAAGATAGTTATGGACTGGGACAAATTACCTAGGGAGATTGTGGAATCTCTGTCCTTGGATGTTTTTAAGAACAGGTTAGGCAAAAACCTGTCAGGAATGGCCTAGATCACTGATTTACAATATTTTTTCATTTGCAAACCCTAAAAAATTTCAAATGGAGGGGTGGACCCCCTTGGAAATCTTAGACATGGCCTGTGGACCCCCAAAGATCTGGGGACCACAGGTTGAAAACCCAGGTTCTAGATACGACTACTACTAATAGTCCTGCCTCAGTGCAGGGGACTGGTGAGGTTGGGGTTTCTCAACCCCAGGGTCGGGACGTCAAATTGGGTTGCAAGACTGTTTCAAAGGGTCGCTTGGCAGCTCTAATGGTTCCTGTCACACGGGGCTGGATGGGCTGCCCTGATGATGGGAGTGTGGATAGGCCAAATGTGAGAGAGTGGGTGGCACTGAAGCCCAATGAGCCAGGTAACAACTTCACTCACAAAAGTTTACCCCAGTCAGGGGGATGGGCCAAACCTGAGCGATGCTTCAACCCCAGAGGTTGCAATGACCAGAGGGGAGAGCCAAGCCTAACAAACCCCACAATACAGAGCTGCAGGAGATGCCACTAAGGGGCGAGTGCCTGACAGATCTTGTCCCCTGTGGGGCATGGGTCCTGACCAAAACCACCCCACGGCCTCCACCCTCAGACTATTTACTGGGTTGAGACAGGTCGTAAACTTTTACAAATGGGTCCTGAGCCCAACAAGATTGAGAAACACTAGACAGATGACCTATCAAGGTCCCCTCCAGTCTTGCATGTCTATGATTCTATGATGTGACAGAGCAACTGAATAAATTACTGAAGAGTGTGAGCTATAGCAACAGCTGCTACGTGACTCTGGAGTCTGAGGCGTCGGTTCCATCACTGATTCCCACAGAACTCCGAGGCCCATTTACTTTGGTTTTGTTCAGAGTAGAGGATTTGGGACTATTAGTGGTTCTCTGTATTCCATTCAGTGTGGTAACAGTGTGCTATGTTACACTTAACCAAGGAACATTAATTTGTCAATGACAATCTTCAGTACTCCCTGTGGCTTAAGGTGATCTTCTATCTCTCAAACCCACTTCCTACTACTTATTGTTGTACTTGTAACTTAGAAGCCTCCCCCATAATTGTTATCTAAGAAACCTACCTGATACAGAGATTTTAAAATCAGATATTTCAAAAGTCAGCCTGCTGTACCCTAAAGGTTCATTTTCACTAGAAAGTTACACTGAGTTAGAACACCACCTTGAAGAGCCATGTTAATTAACACAATATTATTGGCCATGATCCTGCAGTCAGTATAGACAGGGAGAAGTCATGTTCAGTACTGTGTCACTGGTTCCTTGGTAAATTATTAGGACCAGTGTTTAACCCCAACTAATTGATACCATATTGACATGATTTGTCCCTGACTGCAAAGTCACTATCAGCATCATGTCAGTTAGTGTAACTACTCAAGGTCATGTTCAAATGTAATTTTCTATTTGACATTGTCAGGAATATTATGAATTATTTTTTCATCAGAATATGCTGGTTTGTTTAAAAAGCAAAACATATAGCAGAAATATGTCACCATTGATGAAAATTAATTTCCAAACTGGAGGAAAAAAAAGTGATAAGGAACATTTTGACCTCTTTGATACAGAACATTGGTTTTCTGTTTCAAAATTATTTTTGTTTGTTATTTTAAAATGTGTTTTATAAAATACAATATGAAATAAAAAAGGCAAAATGTGAATGAAAAGTTTTGATCAATCCAAAATGACCCCCCCCCACACACACATAATTTCAGCTTGCAGGAAATGTTAACATTTTTCAATGTTCTTCCAGCCATTCTAGAATGGAAGAAATTTTCACATTGTGAAACTACCCTCAAAACAAAAAAATCTGATTCCTACATGGCTCTATTTACTAGTAAAGGCAAGCCCTTTGGGGCTTATTCATTATTCAGTGCATAGCTAGCATAATGGGAGTTAGGTGCATCAAGCCGCAAATATTATCTTACTGGTTACAGCACTGTTTTAAAAAAAAAAAAAGGTAGCAGGAACATGTCTTCTAAAGAAAAGATCCTTTTGATTGCCCTTAGCTATCATAGAAGGATATATTAGTGTGTCTGCAGACAGCCAAGGTATTTCCATACTTGTCTTAATTTACAATTCTTCCCTTGTTCCAGTCATTGTTGTGCTGTACGTAGCACTGCGAAGGCAGAAGAAAAAAAGACACCCTGATGACCTCTAAAGAAGACATCAGAGACAATGTCATCCATTATGATGATGAAGGAGGTGGGGAGGAAGACACCCAGGCTTTTGACATTGGTGCCCTGAGGAATCCAAAAGTGATTGAAGATAACAAAATACGCAGGGATATAAAACCGGACACTCTATGTTTACCACGTCAGAGACCACCAGTGGAAGACAACACAGACATAAGAGATTTCATTAATCAAAGGCTGCAGGAAAACGATGTGGATCCCACTGCACCCCCTTATGATTCACTGGCAACCTATGCCTATGAAGGAAATGGATCTGTAGCAGAGTCTCTGAGCTCTATAGATTCACTTACTACAGAGACAGACCAGGATTATGATTACCTGAGTGACTGGGGACCCCGCTTTAAAGTCTTGGCAGAGATGTTCGGAGAGGAAGAAAATTATAACACTGCTAAAGTCACTTAAGGGAGGGAAACCCAAAAGGCAAGAATAAGAAAACTAGAACAACAACAAATTAAAAATAAAACCCGAGCTTTATAGGACAAGATTCCTTTGATTATTAAAGACAGCACCTGTCTCCAGCAAGTTACTATATTTATCATACTGTCAGTTTTGATTTGGTCTGCAAAGGGAGGATAAACCCTGTAAGATATACTTTTTTGTTGTTTTTTGTTACTTGGGAATAACACTGAGACAAGCTCAGGCCTATTAGCTACAATGTACTGATATGACAACTTAGACAGAAGCTAGCTTTCTGGCATCACGGTGGAAGAGTGGTAGATTTTTCTTAATTCCACTAAAGTGCCTATTGAAACTTTTATCATTTAAAGTGGTAAAGACTCTGCTATGATGGTGTTACAGAACTGAGCTGTAAACTGGACATAAAGGACTTTATCTTTATGTCAAGAAGCAATAGCAACATGCTGACTTCTAGTTCTTATAAAACAAAAATGAAGATAACTTTCTGGAATATATCCAGTGACTAAAACTCAAGGGGTATTGTTTTGGATTTTTATTTTATTTTAAGGAATAATAATAATAATTGTATGCCAAGATATCACATTTCTTCTGTCCGCATTTCACTGACAAATTGAATAAAAAGTGCTATTACTCAATTTCAAGATGTAAAGCCCAAAATTAAAAACATACCACACACTGATCTTCACATACACAAAGGAATATTTAAAAAAAATAATCAGTTACACTTTTTCCAGGATGAAAGAGAAAATTATAAAAAACATCTATTCCTTTATAGGAAGGAAACTTCCCTTGACTCCAACTCATCATGTACAGACAAGTTATTGGTACATCAGTGGTGGTTTTTAGAGGGCTAATGTATTTTTTAGTATCAGTGTTGTTTTTTTTTCAGTGTAAGTATGAATAATGAAATATATATAAAGGACCTCACATTGCTTTTCTTTGAAATTAGTTTGTCATTCTGTCAATATTGTAGACATACATGACAGAGAGGACATATATGTTAAACTCCTGCTGGAACCTGCGGAACTGGTCATACTCTAAAATTCAGGATATGTCATACTTTGGTATCAGTGCCACTATGGTGTCAGATGTTTCAAATGTCTTAGAGCACTCTGAAAATTAAGCCTACAGTAGTCTTCAAGAAAATATTCAGCGTCAGATTAAATTATACATGTAAAATGTTATATATACATACTCATATACTTAGAAGTGTGGATATCATTTCAAATCATGTGGTACCCAGACATCATTCCACTGAAGATTTATTGTGACATAAACAAAGTTCAAGAAACTGGAAGCTCCAGCTGGCATTTCCTTGTATTACATTTTTGACGTTTTTTTTTTCCATCTGATTTTTTTATTGCATTTTTTCTTACACTTTCAAAAAACAACCAACCAACCAATCCATGCAAGTATTGACCATTCTGATACTGATTGGCCTGGATGATGCCACATCAGTATTAATATTAATGTTGAATTGTCTGCTGATCTAAAGTATGGTAATTTTTTTTTCTAGAAGCAGCAGTTATGGCCCAAAGTGAATATACAATTATTTTTTCTCTCTCAGACTTCTACAGTGCTCCATAATCTGCTTGCGCTGCACTTGAGGTTTATGGCATTGGCAGGGTGAGTGTGAGCCTTGCGTGAATCACAGTCTTTCATTCACCAAAGGACAATATCTTATCCTTTGCCATCTAAAGAACTTGTAAATGTCAAGCACACTTAACACAATTTAATCAAATTTAGGGCTTGATGATTGTTTACATGAAGGTCACTTTACACTGCTCTTATAGTAGGTGTAAATTACACTGCTAAAGAGGTGTAACGGGACTGTAGCATAAATGAAAATTGTGCAGTTGTAAAACAAAACTTCATGTGAATGATTTGCTAGCATTTTGCTAGAGAGGCTTAATCCAGCCAAAATTCACATTTGTGGAGGCACCCTTTTCTGCGTGTTGTATATGTGATGATTCATCTCTGTTGTAGACAGGAATTTCATCACTCCTCTTCTGCAACAGCAAAATGCTAAATTAGGAATCCCACACTGTCCATTCCCACCACTGAAGTCACAGGGCTAGATTCAGTTCCTGGTAACATTACTCCAAGTTCTTTACATATATTTCACTAATAATTCCTACAGTAGTGTAACAGAGAGCAGATTCTGACCGTCTGACTTTACAAAGCATGAATGTCACTAAAAGTTCTAATTCCACTGGATCCTGGGGCTGGAGAACAGGATAGTAGGGCTCTGGAGCAGACTGGCATTTACTCTGGATAGTGCAGCCTGGACTCCAAAGGTGAGTAGCCAGACAATATGATCCTTGCCATGTCATTGCTCACAATACATATTTAACAAGAGAGTTATTGTATGCTAAATAAATACAAAATTGATGCATATTTTTGACATTTAAGAGGTTTCCAATTGAGATGTTCCTATCATCTAGCTAATCAACTTCCAGCAAGATTTTGTTTCTGAAATGAATTGATATGCAATTATTAATTTAATTGTCAATCTCAATTAAAATCTTTTCTTTCAGCCACCTAATCTGAAGAGCAATCAAACAGTTTTAGTTCAGCCTGCTGAAGTTACTGTTGGACATGGATATCTGGAACAAGGGAGAAAGACAGGGTTGTAGTTAATGTGTGTTTGGGCACTCCATTCAATTCATGTCTTTACCACACACCTGTTGTGGGACGTTTTGTGACTTTCTAGAGCCAGATTTTCAAAAGTATTTAGATGCTTGAAGATGCAGCTAGGCAGCAGGTGTTATTTTGAGAAGTGCCTTGGTGCTGAACTCCCATTGAAATCAGTGGCATTTGGTACCTAAGTGCTTCTGAAGATTGTGCTAGGTGCCTATCTGCAGTGATTAAAAAATATGTGCACTCACACACACACACGCGGGGAGTGGGGAGGTACAATAGGTCACAGGCACAGAAAAAAAAAAAGGCGAGGTGGTTGCAGGGTGCCCTGTAAGCACAGCTGTACCAAAGCTGCTGCTTCCAGATTAGGATAGGAAACCCCACCCCTCACACACACACACTTTTTGAAGATCATTTATGCATTGCCTATTTGTGTCTTTAGGCACCTAAATACCTTTGAAAATCAGGCCCTTAGTGTCAAATCCAGCTCTCATTGAAGTCCACGGAGTCTTTCCATTGGATAGGGAGATGGATCAGGCCCCTAATTGCTCTGTGCTTCAATTCTCCGTCCTTCCTGCTTCTCAGTGGTGTCTTGCGGGTAAAGACATTGATTGGTATGAGGATGTTGGATATCATGATGATGATGAGGGCCATGAAAGAATATAGATAGATATCTAGGTCTACAGATCCGAGCATGACTGATGATTTTGGGTGTCTGACACTTTTCAAAAACAGGCCCTATTTAGGGGTCACAAACTGGACATCCAAAACACCCAGTAGTTATTTATTTATTTTTTTAAAAAGGCTCCAATCCTGCTGTCAAGGTTCCTTGCCCACTCTGAACTCTAGGGTACAGATGTGGGGACCTGCATGAAAACCTCCTATGCTTACTTTTACCAGCTTAGGTTAAAACTTCCCCAAGGTATAAATTAATTTTACCCTTTGCCCTTGGAATTTCCACTGCCACCACCAAACTTTAACTGGGTTTACTGGGAAACGTAGTTTGGACACGTCTTTCCCCCCCAAATCCTCCCAACCTTTGCACCCCACTTCCTGGGGAAGGTTTGGTAAAAATCCTCACCAATTTGCATAGGTGACCACAGACCCAAACCCTTGGATCTTAGGGCAATGAAAAAGCATTCAGTTTTCTTACAAGAAGACTTTTAATAGAAGTAAAGGAATCACCTCTGTAAAATCAGGATGGTAGATACCTTACAGGGTAATTAGATTCAAAACATAGAGAATCTCTCTAGGCAAAACCTTAAGTTACAAAAAAGACACACAGACAGGAATAGTCATTCTATTCAGCACAGTTCTTTTCTCAGCCATTTAAAGAAATCATAATCTAACACATACCTAGATAGATTACTTACTAAAAGTTCTAGGACTCCATTCCTGTTCTGTCCCTGGCAAAAACAGCAAACAGACACAGACCCTTTTTTTTCTCCCTCCTCCCAGCTTTTGAAAGTATCTTGTCTCCTCATTGGTCATTTTGGTCAGGTGCCAGCGAGGTTACCTTTAGCTTCTTAACCCTTTACAGGTGAGAGGATTTTTCCTCTGGCCAGGAGGGATTTTAAAGGGGTTTACTCTTCCCTTTATATTTATGACACCTGCATAGTCATGTGCATGTAAAGATCTCTGTGCTGTGGAGGAACCCCACTGACTTCAATAAGATTCCTCCATATTGGCACAGGGGGCCATCTGCATGCATCTGTTTTTTGCAATCAGCACTTGTGTGTATTGGTACAGTGCTGCTCACCTGGCCACCCTGTTACATCAGTGCTAGAGAAAGGAAGTGCTACAGATAAGAAATTCCTATAAAGATAGAGGTGTAAGGAGATCTGAGTTAGAACAAAAAAAATAAAATTGATGGGTTCAAATTATGACTATATAAGACTACAGACCTTTTTGTGTCATAGCCTGAAGAGGGAGTTTTATAGTATAGAAAAAGAGGACTTTTAAAAAAATGTCTCTGTACTGAAAAGGTTAGTAGTAAGAAAAGTTCAGATGGCTTAACTACATTATCAGAATTAAAATATGCATTGAAATCTAGACTCAAGAACATTCTCCTTTGTAAACCTGAGATCCTTGAACATGGCTCTTAAAATGTAAATTTGCAACAAAGCCAAAAATTCAAACTGCAAGAATTTGGGGAGAGATGGAAAAAGGGTATTCACACACAGAGATCAGTTTGCATAGGATGCAAATGAACTCTGGCCTAAATTGTTCTGTGCTACTCAGTACAAATCCAGGGTTACTCTCCCCTGAAGACAACGGAATTAGTTTGGGTTTACACTGGAGAACCTGAGAGCAGATTTTGGACAGGTCGACATTGCAAATTTACATTGGCACAGCCGCACTGATGCAGCTGCTCTGTTCTAGCACATGTGGTGAAGACACTTTAAGCCGATGGGAGACCGCTCTCCCGTCGGGTTCATAAATCCTCCTCCACGAGAGGCTGTAGCTATGTCGGCGGAAGAGCGTGGATTTTTCACACTCCTGAGCAACGCAGTTATACTGAAGTACTTATGCAGTGTAGACCAAGCCTTTGTCTCTCAGAGTATATTATAGACCAGAGGGTATTTAACTGCATCCAAGGACAACTGACTGAGTTATTATGCTACAGAGGCCTCATTGAAAATATTCTTATGTTAAGAGTATCCACATCTAAAAGTGGAAGAAAAAAAAACTGTCTTTGAAGGCTTATCAAAGCCTTATCCCACAGCGCTGCAAGCATTGTATTTATGTTAGCATTGATTGCATCTATGAAGATAAAGGAGTTCTTAAAACTGTGTCTGACATAGCATGGTAAACTGTGTCCCTGTATACAATAGAGCTAAAGAAAGAGGGTCTACTAATCCATTAAAGTATAGTTCATCATTTCTTCACATGGTATGTCTGGTTTTAGTTTGGTAACTTCTGTTTGTGTAAGTTCCTTGCAATTATTTTTTTTTAAAATGCCATTAGCAAAGCTATTCCACTCCACATCTCCTGAATAGTGAGAGTGTTTTGAGATATAGAACACTGATGAAAACAAATAATGAAATGACCCTTAATCATAACCCTAATGGGGGTGACATTTAAGTGTGCCTGAAAAATCAAAATGCATTACACCATTACCTAGCCTTCTGCTAATGCAAAATCAGGTTCAATAATAGCCTAGTTCATTTTTATTTAAATCAAGAACAGAATAAATTATCTAAACAAAACAATAGCAATGCAAAACCTATGTAACTTTCTGTTATAATGGATCTCTCTCTTCTAAGAG